TGTGATTCTGCAACTTGTATTTGGGGTAAAAAATGGGAGTTCATAACCCACTTGAATCAAATGTATGGAAGATGATATGTCATGAGCTTTGTAATGTTTTGAACAACCAATAAAAAAAAAGATGTTTGAAGAACTTAAATGTAAAAGACAACAGTAGTCAAGTTTTAAGAAGGAAACATAGGGGATTTTTTTTAAAGTACTGGAACTAAAAAAGAATTCCCTAACAAGATGTATAATTGGGATTTTTTTTATAAACCCAGTATCATTAAAATAGGACCTTGGATCATCAAAATAGGCTAAAAGAAAAACGAAAGAAATAGCCATAAACAATCTTTTCTTAGTGCTTAGGCAGGAGTGTGCCCTTAGAGGTGAAAAAGTATAATTAATCTTAGCAAAATATATGCAATAGTTCTGAAAGTGAATGAGGTGCAGCTGCAGGCTGTAAAGGCTGATGAATATCAAAACCACAGTGTTGAATAAGAAAAGTAAATCACAGCATACATTCAGTATGATGCTATTCTGTTAAGTTCAAAGTCATTCCAACTAAATAACACAAGGTAGAGTGGTCATATGTATTTTTACATGACCTATAAATAGCAAGGGAATAAAAAATGCATCAAATAGATGCTTTTGAGGGACAGGCAGGGTATTAGGTAATACAATTAGAAGCACTCACAGGGCTCTGAAGGTTTGATCAAGCTCTGTTTCTTAAGTTGAGTAAAAGGTAAGTAAGTGCCTATATGTATTCATTAAGCTGTAAACATATATCACATGCATTCAATTCATATGCATGTGGCATCAATTCACAAAATACTTCTAATAAGTAAACAGCTATGAGATGAACTTCAGAATGTTCAGTGGAGAGACACTGTTCAAACAAATTGGCCTGAGTCAAGTTGTAGATTCTGAAGGAATGTTCACTATTTCTGAGAGGCTCCTCAACTGTTTTTGTTTGTTTTCTGTGATGCTGGGAATCCAACCCAGGGCCTCATGCTTGCTAGGTTAGCACTTTGCCACTGAGCTACACTACCAGCCCAGGTTGTAGAGCATAACATATAATTTGAGGCCTGGGGATACAGCTAGGTGGTAGAGCCACAGGATGCCCTGACTTTGAGCCCCTGAATGGCAAAACCAGGACAAAACCAAAGGGAAAAACTCATACTTCTCTCTGCCAACCTGAGTCCAGAAACTCTCAAAATGTTACTTGAATTTCATCAAGAAAGATAAAGGTTCCATTGGTAGAGCACCTTTTTTTTCTGTTGTGATGGAAACCATAATTTATACTAATTAATAAAATTTTAATATCTTCTTATAAGGGAAAAAAATAATTATGTGTTCATATTTCCAAAGTCATTAAAAATTCAGAACAAATTGGCTGAGGAATAAAATGCAATCAATATATTTTATTCATCTGTGAAAGAGGTATTAATAATAACCCTCTCATAATATCTTTTCAATGTGCCCAACTATAATATAAATAATGTTAAGGTAATGTTCAAAGTATTATTAAAAGAAAACAATAAACTTGGAGAAAATTTATATCAAATATTAAGATCCATATGGAAAATGTGTTCCACCACATCAATAAGATGAATAATCACTGGAAAATATGGGCAAAGGAGATATATATATATATATATATATATATATATATATATATATATATATCAGTTACAGAAAGAAATATTCAAGTTGTTAATAAATATGAAAAATGACCTCATCAACAAACCAAATATGCAAGTGAAAACAATGAATTAAGTGTCTTTATCTAGCAGGTTGCAATGAATTAAATTAAACAAGTAAACACATTAGCATAGTATTAGTCATGATCTAGAGGAACAAACACATGTTCAAGATAACTCTTTCTGGCAAACAATTTTAAAATACCCATTAAAATCTTAAATTGCTTCAATCCAGAAACTCTATTTTTATGAATTCATCTTGCAAAGATATATACTCAAAAGGGCAAAGATGAGTACACAAATCTGTTTATTGCAACAATTATAATAGCAAAATAAAAAGATAAAATATTCTAAAGTTCTATTAATAAATGGATCTGTTAAACAGAGGAAAACTGCAGCTATTAAATTACAATGTATGTGTGTATACAATGTATATATGTATACATGTATATGCCTATATATACATATTTTTTGCCATATAGGTTACTGAAAACAAAAGTGTATAACAGCATATAATGTGGACTATATGATGTATACATTAAAGGAGATTGAATTATTATTGAAAAGATAGATGCATAGATAGAAGACATATTAAACTTTTAATGATTATATCCAAGAAGTAATATAGATACTAGCAGAAACAAACTTCTGCTTATAAATTATGTATGTTTTTGAGATATATTGACCTATACTGTATTTGATACTGTTTACAGCAATGTTTTATTACTTTTGTAACTTAAAAATATGAATACTATTTTTAAAAGACAATGTTTTTCTCCACAAGCTTAGTCTAGCTGATGAGTGAGACCTGCCAAGAAAAAAGATTAATGCTAGCTCTTTTAATACTACAATGTCACCAGCAAAACAACATGTGACTAAAGAAGCAGTCATTGAGCTGAGCAAAATTCTGGTGAAAGAAAAGATATTGAAACCAACTAGTGGAAATGCTGATTCTTATGTTGTACTTAAAGTGGCTTCAATCCCACCTCCTTCCTATCAAAGGAGATTACAACAAATACTAAGAAAATCAGGAAATAAGCCAGTTCACTGTTGTGAGGTACGAAAGGGGAAATGTTTTAATATTAAATTAAGCTAAACTATTTCAGCCAAGTATATACTTTCCATCTTACAATGAACCAAAAGTAGGAAATCAAGTTGATTGCCTTAAAATGAGGGAAATAGGTGTATGACTCACTGTTTCTCATATACACACACTTCCATACACAAATATATAAAATATTCTCCTATAAGTTTTTCTTCTTTCTTTTTTTTTTCTGTTTTAATCCCTTTAGTTGTTTTTAGGCAAGTGATTTATCACTGAGCTAAAGCCCCCAGCATTTTTGTTGTTGTTGTTGTTGTTATTGAGACAGGGTTTTATTAAGTTGGCCATGTAGGCCTCAAACTTGCAATCTTCCTGCCTCAGTCTCCCCAGAAGTGGAGACTACAGACCTACACCACCATGCCTGGCTTTTAGTTGATTTATAACTGTATACTTGGAGGGTAAGGCCAGGGACTCTGGAATGCATGTGCATGAAGTTTCCTAAAAAGTGTCTCCAATCATGATGAGTATTTCTCATCTGAACCGTATTCCTTTACCTAAAGGCTGCCCCGCAGGTTAGCTGTGACTATTTCCACAGCTAAAATGTGACTAGTAAAAATTAAGGAGCTACTAATGGATTTTGAAGGCTTTGAAAGAGCAACTGTAAAATATCTTGTTATTTTTATATTGATTACATGTTGATAAATCTTTAATACAACCACTTGATAAAATTTAAAACTCATTTTACTTGTCTCTATTTTACTTTTTTTTTTAATGTGTTTTGACATTTTTCAAACGAAACGTATGACTCACATATTTCCATTAGACAGTGCTGACATGGAGAGTAGGACTGTGGTCAGCAGACCTGACCCGGTCTTTCCTGGCCTTGTGACTTTGGGCAAATATTTTAACGTCTTTGAATCTCAGTTTTATCCTCTGGATTTGGGGGAAGACAGCATACCATCCTGCATGGGCAGTTTGGATACTTTAGTATGCGTATTATAAGAAATACCTTAAAAGTAATCTAACAACTGTTATAATTCTTAGCTGGTGCCAGCTAAAACGCAGCATCTCAGCAGGGCCCGCAGGATCAGCTCCCCAGCCACAGCCCAGAGCACTCAGTGTTTGCGGTAGCGTTGGAGAATTCTAGTCCGGCGATGAGAGACTGCCCCCTGGTGGACTGAGTAGGGATGCAGACGAGGCGACCTATGCTCCAGAGCCGCGGGCACCAACCTCTGTGCTCTGCCCGCCTGGCAGTGCCGGGAGAGCTGAAAGATGCTGGAAACTTTCCCCGCCATCCCATTCTTGACCTTACCGCCGGAAGAGAGTCACCAGCAAGATCTAGCTTGGGCAGTGTCTAGAGTAGGGGGTGCACAAAGTGGGGAGGAGAGCAGGGGGGATGTGCTCAGAAAGACAGTGCGCAGAGATTGCTGAGATCAGCCACGATAGCCAGGGGAGCCCCAGGCAAAATTGAGAAATCGGTAATATTTGTTAGGTGCAGGGCTGTCACAGATACCTAATGTCTGGCTTGAACCCAGGGATCATTATGCATGCGAGGCAGGCACTCTACCAACTGAACTATGTCCCCAGCCCAGGACACTGCTGTTAATAATGATACTACCTTTAAATGTCTCATTGAGGCCATTGTTATCCCCATTGTGGAGAAGGAAAAAATGGGCATGGGAAGGGAGCAGGTATAAAAAGACCTTGCCACCTTTATTGCTTATAGTTTTCAAACAAAAGCTGAACCTCTATTTTCCCCAGCTCATTTACCTTTCTATGGGGATATAGTCAAATTCCTAACCCCATCGGACCTCCTTTTACTCCAGGAGTCAATGGAGAGTGCCCTGCGTGGTGACTACCATGTGGGACTATTACAGGGTTAAATGATGTCAAGTAAGCAGGCGGCTTTGATAAAACAAGACTGTAAAAGTTGTCAAAAGTGACTCCTATGAAATAAATTATCTCAATCCTAGGAGCAATTTATTCTACAATATTCGAACCAAGCAGTAGCTTCAGCAATGGAGACCAGAGTCTTTGGCACAATTGAGCGGATAATTTAGGGATTCAGGTAGGGTAATTGGGTACTTCCTTAACAATACCAAGTGGGTTACCTCCCATACTGAGTGTCCTAGGATCTGGGAATAAATAAATGGGCATGAAGGCTATCGGCTTCTTCATTGAAATCTAACAGGCTTCCTTACACCTTTCAAATCACAGGACCCTGTACCTATCTCCCACCCTCACAGCTGTTAATCTTTGGAATGTCTCTTGAACAGATGCCCCTCCTGAGCTGCCAGTTCCTAAAGAGTTACCGGCAACAACGCTTGGCCCATTTAGTCCTGAGCTCCATTACCATGGGATATGTCTGGCAGGAAGGAGAGACACAGCCTAAAGAGGTAAGAGGCAGACAGATGCCTGTCCTATCATCTGCCTGGTCCTCTGCACCTGGGATAAGCTCTCTGCTTGGTACTATATTTTTTAAAGTGTACTTTCTTATTTATTTTGTGGGATATCAGTTGAAGGAGAGGAAAAGAGACAATTTAAATAAAGAATTACTTTTTTTTCCTGGTAGGAAGCTAATATTCTTTTAGACTGATAGTCATATTCCCTTTTATTAATTAGCCTTTGAGATTATTTTCTCTGGCACTTTCCCCCATGAGTGTGTAAAGAGCTGCATTTGAAGACATCCTGAAAACACATTGAAGACTTACAGCTGTCTTATACTCCTAAACATATCTGTTGTTTTGGATGCTTTTTTACAATCTCATAAATATGTAGGGTTATACTATGTCAATTTTACAAACTGAGGAGCACAGAAGTTAAGTCCCTTGTCCAAAGTCAGAGAGCAAATTAGTAGAAAAGCCAGGGCCAGAACCTGGTTCTTCTGATTTCCCTCACGGAGCCTTCTTTTCCCAGAGGGACACGTTGACATTTATAACACTGATCTTTATGTAGTAATGCTGTTTAGGCTAATTATAAGCCTATCTCTTGATAATTTATCTGTTCTTTTCTGACATTTTGCATAAACTTTTATAATTACAACATGTACTTTGGGACATAAATTCCTGGGCTCTACTACCCATCTTCTAAACTAATATTACTTTTCATTTCTTATAAAGATCCTTATTCCAGAAATCAAAAAGTGTTCCATGTTCTAGAAAACACAGTTAAGTGAACAGCCTGTGCCCAATTTGTCTGCCCGATTGATTCTACCTCTTATTCCTCCCCAAAGCACAGGAAGGAGCCCTAGGGACAAAGTGTAGAGCTGCTTCGGGGTTTTTATGATGTACATCTCATTTTGAAAAAGTTGTATGTCTGAAAAATTTGAAATCTAGGCACATGGACATGCCAATGAGGCTCTCTATGCTATCTTCTCCCTAAATCACTGTCTTAAAGTAGGGGGAGAAGTAGTCAAAAGGCAGGGGGAGGCAGTCTCCAGCCTACTGCTGTATCCATGTGGTTTCAAGCCACCCCACAGGGCTCCTCATTTCCAGACCCCAGACCTGGCCTTCGGTCATCTCTTACTGTTTTAAAATGTTCTTATTAATACATACTGATTGCATTAATTATTGGGGTTCATTTATATTTCCGTGCATTGTCAAATTCAACCTCCCTTTTCCCACCCTCTTCAAAATACCCCTTTCAATCCATATTAATCACTATTCTGTTTTGAGTTCCAGTTTTTTGGTTTTTTTGGTAAAGTTTCCACATATAAGAATATGTGGCACTTGCTTTTCTGGCTAATTTCACTTAATATAATGTCCTCTGATTACATATATTTTGCTCTTATTAGAGGATTTCATTCTTTTTTTGGGGGGTGGGGGGTACTAGGAATTGAACTCAGGGGCACTCAACTTCTGAGCCCCAGTCCTATTTTGTATCTTATTTAGAGACAGGGTCTCACCGAGTTGCTTATCACCTCAATTTTGCTGAGGCTGGCTTTGAACTCATGATCCTCCTGTCTCAGCCTCCCCAGTGGCTGAGATTACAGGTGTGCACCACCACACTCAGCGACTTCATTCTTTTTTATGGCTAATCCACTATTTTGTATACATACCACATTTTCTTTATCCATTTCAGAGGCACCTAGGCTGATTCCATACCTCAGCTGTTGTGAGTACAGCTGCCATGTGCAGATGACTCTTGTGCAGATGACTCTTTTTTGTATGCTGGTTTCATCACCTTGGAATATATATAGCTAGGAATACTTTTAGTTTTTGAGGACTCTCCATACTGGTTTCCAAAGTGGCTGTGCCAATTTGCATTTCCAACAAGAGTGTACTAAGATTCTATTTTCTCCACATACTTACCATAATTTGTTATTAGTTTTATTTGTTTATCTATCTATTTTGATAATCACCATTCTGGTTGAGTTGAGATGGCATCTCATTGTGGTTTTGACTGCTTTTTCCTCATGGCTAATGACATTGAGCATTTTTCATATTTGTGTTGACCATGTATCTGACTCCTGTTGTCACTCCTGCCCTTGCCTTCTAAAGAAAGTGTTCCTTAGAGTTTCAAAATTCAAAAGTCTTTATAATTTTTTATCTAAAAATGCTGTACCAAATCTACCTAAAACTCCAAGTTAAAAAAAACAACAAAGTGAAGTAGAGCTTCTTTAACAGATATTTCTATCTTAAAAGAATATGAGGTGAGGAGATGAGGAGCATACAAATGTTTTTTTTTTTTTTTAATTTGGACTAATCTAACTTTAATTTAAATAGAGAATCCCATGGATCTGAGTAGCTTTTCTGGGATGTAAGCAGATAAGGCTCTGTGGCATCTGTTCAAGAGAACTCCAAAGATTAACAGTTGAAAAGGTAGAGAAGGGGATAGGGGTTCCGTGACTTGAAGGATCCCTTGGGTGTAAGGAGATTAGGTGTATTTTAATGATGTCATACCATGAGTAATGGAACCAGGGACTTCATATCTCAAAGTGTAGGTTGAAACTACAAAAAATTATGCAAAGAGTCAGAGGCTATAGAAGAGGGTAAATAGTGTCTGTCCAGAAATGGTTTATTTGAAAGTCATTATTGGGTTTGACTTAGGAAGTGACCAACAGACTTGGTTTCCACACAGACTGAAATGTCTGTCTTTCTCACTCTTATCCAGTGTGCTCTGATCTCTCTGATTGACACACAAACACACAAGCACATACATGTATTTCCATCTATGTGTATACCCGTATCTAGAGGTCTAACTATCTGTCTAGAGAAAGAGTTTTTCCCACTGCTAATTTATTTAGCTCCTGCTTTAGTACTGTTTTTTTGCATAGCCAGTTTCTGAGGTTAGTAATTTTCATACATGTTGCAGTGTGTACTCATAAACAGTGCTGCCACTAAGTTACTGTTCATGGATATCTGCATGAAGCATGTGAATAAGGATCACCCCGCTAATTCAAATGTGATCCTCAAATCATTTCTTGACCACAGGATTGCTGGAATAAAAGACAACCGTAGGTATTTCCTCTGCCACATTCTTCCTAGAATGTGATATTTGTCTGGATTTATATTTGAAAGGTGCTGCCAAGAAATCTTGCCATTCCCTTTGTTGAAGTCTCCAGGAACTTGGGGCTCCCTCCTATCCTGGTACACTCAGACTTGGTGCTGGCAAACTGGACGAAAAGGAACCCAGAAGGGTAAGAAAGGGAGAGAACATTTCGGATTTTGAAACTCAGTAAAAGGTGGTCTTAAAACTTCACCTCTCTCCACAAGGAAAGTCCAGACTTTTTAGTTCCTTTATCATTAGGGATGTTCACATTGATTGTCTGTTTTTGTGGTTTCAAAGATTAAACTTGATCATAAGTGTCCCCCAAATCCACTCTGAATACATGGCCCAAACCACTTTTCTTGCTGTTGTCACATCATATCTAAAATTTTTAACCCAACCTTCGAGGTCCTGTATAATCTTACTTTATTCATTTTTTTCTAATCCTACTTCATTTATTTCTTCTCATTAAATTGTTTCTTCCCTGATATGCCCTCCATTGGAGTCAAGTTAGAACCTTCAATAAATGATCATTATACAGTGATCATAAAATAATGATTGTATGTGATTCGAGAGTTGGTGATCTAGGTATGTTAGACTGATAATTTGATTAATAATGTCATCAATTCTACCTAACACATCACTTTTTGATACTTCTGCTGGGAATAAAAGCTTTTGTCTGTGGAAAAAATAGCATGATTTTGTAACAAATAAGAAATCCAGTAGTCAGAAATGAGTGGGAGAGAAGTATTAAATTTCCCATTGAAGTTTTATTTTCACAGACAAATTTATTTCTGGCTATAGATGCAAGATATAGCACTTACTTTTGTCATAGATTAAAATATCTGAAGAGACATTCAGGTTGGATGTGAGGAAGAACTTCTTCAGCACAATGGTTGTAGGTAGCCAAGGATTCCTAAAGGAGATAATGGGACTCAACTGTAAAGGAGTAAATACTTAATATACAACTTAGCTTTTAGGTTAATTTATATCCCCATTGGAAGAAGAATCAATGGGTCATCTCAGGTCTCTAAGGACCTGGAAATTTGTTTTGTTGAATAATTACATTTTAATTTTGACCAATTATGCTTTAATAACAAAAGTGGTGATCATTGAAAATAGCAAAATCTAGCTTAGAGTTTGGGTGGGAAGAGATAATGAATAAACACACATGAATTATTCTTGTCAATGCATTGGATATTGAATAAGGTGAATTTACAATTCAGAAAAAAAGAGTGGAAACAAGAAGATTAAAGGGAAAAATGGCAGTATTGGATTGGGAAAGTCAAAAAAACAAAATAAAAGGCTGACGTCCTACAAAGTGAGAGTATTGGGCTTATTTAACCCCAGATAAGCAGGCACAGTCCTGGGCTTCCTCACAAATGCTTGTTGGTACATCTTGAAGTCTTTTAATATGCCTAGCACAGAGCTAAGTGCTTTGAATAAATGAAAGACACAGTAGTTAAGGACTTCCAAAGTGGTTAAATAATGAGACAAAGCAGAGCATGACAAATGTCAAAGGGTGACACAAACAATATGTTTATTGGAACCACACAGTGGTTCCTAGTCCAGTCATAACCAACAATGTGCAAGATGTGTGTCAATATATGTATTAGTTGTATCACACACGAGTGTGTGTTCCTGGGTACATGTGACCCTAGAAGCTATATCTGGTTTACAAACTCAATTTTTTGTTTTTCTCTTTCTTCCTCTTGGTGGTTGCCAATAACTGAACTTTGGCTAGACCCCTGGAAATCAGGTAAGTTGTCAGAAATCTTTTACTCACTTTAGAATCTAAGCTAAATTTTAAAGCTTAGAATAGAACATGAACATCCCAATTTATTTGTATTGCACAGTATCGACTATATAAAAAAGATAAAAAAGGAAATATGCCAAAAATTTACAGTCCAAAAGTTGGAGATGGTTGATTTTGCCTTGTAAAAATGAGGAACTTACTTTTCTTTATGTCTTGATTTTCCAATCTATGCATAATAAAGCAAGTAAAGTGCAATAGAAGGAAACAGATTTAAAAAAGAACTTTACCAAGTATATGACTCTTTGAAGTCTAATACTCTGAAAAATATTTCTGTCTCACAATAACTTCTACAAAAATCAAATTGTAGGCAGATTACACCTATAGAAGAATTCCTTTGAAACATCTCATTATTATATGGACTAGAGCTCATGGGGCAGGTATGGCCAAGACATTCTTAGGCTCCACTTTCCCTAAAAAGTAAAGCTACCTCTGAAGCCACTGTTGCTTCTCCCATCCTCAGACCTCAGCCTCTATTAAAGAGTCCAGAATAAAAGCTGTAGTTCAGGAGGTAGGGGGGTGAAAGGCGAAAATATCACTCCCCACGCTAATGTAACTCTGTTGAATAATGCAATTCCTGTCTTAAGTTTTGTTTTGTTCTCATTTGGTTTGTTTTGCTCTGTTCTTAAGGTGTGAAAGACATCTATGTTACAATAATCTTTGGAGTTAACTTTATAGGTTTTGTAGACTGGATCGACATCTGAGATATTTGAATCAATCTAAAGGACAACTGGTCATTTTTTAAAAAAGATGTATTCCTCTGTAATGGTCTTACAGCTTCTGGTATATTGCATGGCATTTAGTTCCAGATTAAAAGGAACACTGGTCTGGTTATGTGTTATAGGAGTTATATGTTGACCCTGAACAAGCCATTTTGTGTCTCTGGACCATAATTTTATATCTGTAAGAAAGGAGCATGGTTACCCCAGCTCGAAAGACTCCTCATCTTTGGACAACAATGATGTGATCCTCAAGAAACAGCTATACCTTTAGCTAAGAACTGCCTATCCATATTTCACCTGGCCATTCCACTGGGTTGATAGTCCAGGACCATCAGGGCCATGCTAAACTTTGAGTGAGAGTCCTCAGGTAAGGTTAATTTGGATTTGAACGTATTATTCTCATTCCTCCATGATGCTGCTGAAGATAGATACTCATCCTCAGGTTTGTCTTAAGGAGTGGAAAACATGTTTTCCTGACTGTATCTGTAGTAGGCTACTTGGTGGAGACCTATGGCACTGAGTACTTGTAGCACAGTGTCCACCCCTTTAACCATGTGACAATCTCCTTCCCAAGCAACCTGGACACCATCATCCTGTTTCCTGGGGGAGAGAGTCTGCGTGGCTTCATACTGGTGACTGTTTTAGTGGAGAAAGCAGCTGTGCCTGGAATTAAGGTATCTTCTCACTTTATAGCCTTTTTTTTTCTTTTAAATTTGAGAAATTAGTCCGAGATCACTCTCTCCAACCCCAGTTCCTTTCCCTGAAGTAGATTTCTCAATGTAGATGAATATTAACCTTGTCCTACTTAGTTCAAATATGAGAGAAAAGATCTCAACTCTAGTCCACAGTGTTAGCTTCATTTGCTTAACTGCTGTAAAACTTGGAGTAGATAATTTCTGTATGCATCACTCTAGGAATGGGAAATCAAGGCAAACAAGATGGAAATTGTTCCAGCCTTGATGGAAGCACAGGATCTAGTGGAGGGAGATGGATTAATATAGGGTGAGAAGGAGAAAAAATGTCATGTTTCATGAAAAGACAAGTCTAGAGTTAAAGGATCAGGCAAAGCCTCCCCAGAGAAATGACAGCTAAGTTAATACCTGAATGATGATGATGAGAGAGAGAGAGAGAGAGAGAGAGAGAGAAATCAAGAGCACACACAAATATATTCCTGGCAGAAAACATTGCTATATAGCCTCAGAGAAAAATGAAATGAAATGTATTTTATGTATTTAGTGCCAGAAGGCAGCATTAAGATGACCTTGCCCTGGGGATTGCAGGTTTGAATTTTTTTCAGGTATCCTACATGTATCAGAAAAGGCTGGGGGAGCTTTAGAATTTGTCTGATTTTTATCAAAGACAGAGCTTTGGAGTTAGGATGCCCTAGTTGGCAATATAGTAGAAATGAACATAATGTGTAATAAATCCAAAAGAAAAAGGAATTAAAATGATAGAGCTTAGTCTCTTCAAGATGTATAAGGAGTAGCAGCCACTAGAAAGAATCAGAAAAAACCTAACCAGGGTTCTGTCTGGAAGGTGCCAGAAAGATTCTGGCTTTCAATAGACTTCATGGCAAATCTCATTTTAAGAATACTCCCAGGAAGATGTGACAATCTAGAAGTTTGTGGGGTGCCTGCCCCTGGGTTCCCCAGCCGTGGAACCTCAGTGGGCTTTAAGAGAATGCTGGCAAACAAAGCAATCTCATCCCCAGGCACTTGCTCAAGCAATGCATGCTGTCCTGCAGCCCAGCCAGGATGCCCTGCTTGAGGCCCTGCAGCAACTGAAGCTCTGCATCCAGGACATGACCAGAACCTTAGGACGAATGCATGGTATAATGCCCCCTTGTTTCTGAAGGATCCAAGAGGTTGAAGGCTCTGCAGATGGGAAAAAGGGCCTAAAGTTTGGGCACATCCAAAATAGGTGAGGACTGATCTTTCCACAAGATGGCGCTGGTGCACTATATTTCTTTTAAGGTAGAACTAATTTTGCTGTTCTAACAGAGAATGAGTCTGTAGAGGCATTTTCACAGTTTTGCCCTTCTTTCTATTTTCCAGGGATTAGCATAATTTCCTCTCTTCAGAGACCAGATATATTTTTGGTCTTGTAGGAAGCTTGGGAAGAGCGGATGGGCCAACCCTGTAATATTGGTCTTGTGTGCAGTAATTAGAATATATCAAAGCCATTGAACCCCAACTTAATTTCAATTTTTATTTACCTTAAGTCCAATTTTATCATGTTTATGGGTTAAGTCCTAAAATAGACATTTGTATACACAAAGAGCTCACAAAATATTGAGGATTTTTATCAATCTTTAGAGAAGACTTCTTAGAGACATGAAAACTTAAATTACATATCATACATCAAAACTACATAAAAATCTACAATAATTATTATAATTTTATATGGTTATAATTTACTTTGATTTGCTTATTTATTTACAAACTTTTAAAATCTTCACTCCTTTTGTTGCTGGGGATTGAGTCCAGGGGCAAGCGTTCAACCACTAACCTACATCTCCAGACCTTTTTAATTTAGTTTTGAGATCAGGTGTTGCTAAATTGCCCAGGCTGGGACTCAGTCTCCTAAGTAGCTGGGCACAGGGGTATGTGTCACCTCCCCAGCTTGCTTGTCACTCTTTAAACATATTTCTTTCATCTGAAGCACATCTCTTAGGATTTCCTCTAGTGAGCAGCTGCTATGGCTAAACTCTTATGTATTTATTATTTATTTGGTCCTGGGGATTGAACCCAGGGACATTCAACCACTGAGCCACATCCCCAACCTTTTTTGCATTTTTTATTTAGACACAGGGTCTCACTAAGTGCTTAGGGCCTCACTAAGTTGCTGAGGTTGGCTTTGAACTTGTGATAATCCTGCCTCAGCTGCTGAGATTACAGGTGTGCACCACCACGCCCAGCTAGATAAATTCTTCCATCTAAAATTCACCTGATTTTTCTTTATCTGAAAAATAGTTTTGTTAGCAGTTATATTCTTTCAGATGTTAAATATATCAGTACAGTAACTTCAGGTTTCCCTCATCACTGTTGAGACATAGCTTTCATTCCATCTTTCTCCCTGATTGCTTCTCAGAGCTTCTCTGTGTTCATCTAACTTCTTTGGTGGTTGCTGTTTGTGTCTTGTTTCTTTTCTTTTCTTTTCTTTTTCCAGTGGGTTCTGTCAGTTGGTCGTCATCTTTTCTTGCGTGTTGATTTTTTTCTTTCTTTATTTTTTTTTCTTTTTTTTAATTTTTTATTGTTGGCTGTTCAAAACATTACATAGTTCTTGATATATCATATTTCACAATTTGATTCAAGTGGGTTATGAGCTCCCATTTTTACCCCATATACAGATTGCAGAATCACATCAGTTACACATCCATTGATTTACATATTGCCATACTAGTGTCTGTTGTATTCTGCTGCCTTTCCTATCCTCTACTATCCCCCCCCCCCCCCCCTCCCCTCCCCTCTTCTCTCTCTGCCCCCTCTACTGACATTCGTTTGTCCCCCTTGTATTATTTTTCCCCTTCCCCTCACTTCCTCTTGTATGTACTTTTGTATAACTCTGAGGGTCTCCTTCCATTTCCATGCATTTTCCCTTCTCTCTCCCTTTCCCTCCCACCTCTCATCCCTGTTTAATGTTAATCTTCTTCTCATGCTCTTCGACCCTACTCTGTTCTTAGTTACTCTCCTTATATCAAAGAAGACATTTGGCATTTGTTTTTTAGGGATTGGCTAGCTTCACTTAGCATAATCTGCTCTAATGCCATCCATTTCCCTGTAAATTCTATGATTTTGTCATTTTTTAATGCAGAGTAATACTCCATTGTGTATAAATGCCACATTTTTTTTATCCATTCATCCATTGAAGGGCATCTAGGTTGGTTCCACAGTCTAGCTATTGTGAATTGTGCTGCTATGAACATCGATGTAGCAGTGTCCCTGTAGCATGCTCTTTTTAGGTCTTTAGGGAATAGACCGAGAAGGGGAATAGCTGGGTCAAATGGTGGCTCCATTCCCAGCTTTCCAAGAAATCTCCATACTGCTTTCCAAATTGGCTGCACCAATTTGCAGTCCCACCAGCAATGTACAAGTGTACCCTTTTCCCCACATCCTCGCCAGCACTTGTTGCTGTTTGACTTCATAATGGCTGCCAATCTAACTGGAGTGAGATGGTATCTTAGGGTGGTTTTGATTTGCATTTCTCTGACTGCTAGAGATGGTGAGCATTTTTTCATGTACTTGTTGATTGATTGTATGTCCTCCTCTGAGAAGTGTCTGTTCAGGTCCTTGGCCCATTTGTTGATTGGGTTGTTTGTTCTCTTATTGTCTAATTTTTTGAGCTCTTTGTATACTCTGGATATTAGGGCTCTATCTGAAGTGTGAGGAGTAAAGATTTGTTCCCAGGATGTAGGCTCTCTATTTACCTCTCTTATTGTATCTTTTGCTGAGAAAAAACTTTTTAGTTTGAGTAAGTCCCATTTGTTGATTCTAGTTATTAACTTTTGTGCTATGGGTGTCCTATTGAGGAATTTGGAGCCCGACCCCACAGTATGTAGATCGTAGCCAACTTTTTCTTCTATCAGACGGCGTGTCTCTGATTTGATATCAAGCTCCTTGATCCATTTTGAATTAACTTTTGTGCATGGCGAGAGAAAGGGATTCAGTTTCATTTTGTTGCATATGGATTTCCAGTTTTCCCAGCACCATTTGTTGAAGATGCTATCCTTCCTCCATTGCATGCTTTTAGACCCTTTATCAAATATAAGATAGTTGTAGTTTTGTGGATTGGTTTCTGTGTCCTCTATTCTGTACCATTGGTCCACCCGCCTGTTTTGGTACCAGTACCATGCTGTTTTTGTTACTATTGCTCTGTAATATAGTTTGAAGTCTGGTATCGCTATACCGCCTGATTCACACTTCCTGCTTAGCATTGTTTTTGCTATTCTGGGTCTTTTATTTTTCCATATGAATTTCATGATTGCTTTCTCTATTTCTACAAGAAATGCCGTTGGGATTTTGATTGGCATTGCATTAAACCTATAGAGAACTTTTGGTAATATCGCCATTTTGATGATGTTAGTTCTGCCTATCCATGAACAGGGTATATTTTTCCATTTTCTAAGATCTTCTTCTATTTCTCTCTTTAGGGTTCTGTAGTTTTCATTGTATAAGTCTTTCACCTCTTTTGTTAGGTTGATTCCCAAGTATTTTATTTTTTTTTGAAGATATTGTGAATGGAGTGGTTGTCCTCATTTCCATTTCAGAGGATTTGTCGCTTATATACAGGAATGCCTTTGATTTATGCGTGTTGATTTTATATCCTGCCACTTTGCTGAATTCATTTATTAGCTCTAATAGTTTCTTTGTAGACCCTTTTGGGTCTGCTAGGTATAGAATCATGTCATCTGCAAATAGTGATAATTTAAGTTCTTCTTTTCCTATTTTGATGCCTTTAATTTCTTTCGTCTGTCTAATTGCTCTGGCCAGTGTTTCGAGAACTATGTTGAACAGAAGTGGTGAGAGAGGGCATCCCTGTCTTGTTCCAGATTTTAGAGGGAATGCCTTCAATTTTTCTCCATTCAGAATGATGCTAGCCTGAGGCTTAGCATAGATTGCTTTTACAATATTGAGGTATGTTCCTGTTATCCCTAGTTTTTCTAGAGTTTTGAACATAAAGGGATGCTGTACTTTGTCGAATGCTTTTTCCGCATCTATCGAGATGATCATATGGTTCTTATTTTTAAGTCTATTGATGTGGTGAATAACATTTATTGATTTCCGTATATTGAACCAGCCTTGCATCCCAGGGATGAATCCTACTTGATCATGGTGCACAATTTTTTTGATATGTTTTTGTATCCGATTCGCCAGAATTTTATTGAGGATTTTTGCATCTAGGTTCATTAGAGATATTGGTCTGTAGTTTTCTTTCTTTGAAGTGTCTTTGTCTGGTTTAGGTATCAGGGTGATGTTGGCCTCGTAGAATGAATTTGGAAGTTCTCCCTCTTTTTCTATTTCCTGAAGTAGCTTGAAAAGTATTGGTATTAGTTCCTCTTTAAAGGTTTTGTAAAACTCTGCTGTATACCCATCCGGTCCTGGGCTTTTCTTAGTTGGTAGTCTTTTGATGGTTTCTTCTATTTCCTCAATTGATATTGGTCTGTTTAGGTTGTCTATATCCTCCTGACTCAATCTGGGCAGATCATATGACTTAAGAAATTTATCTATGCCTTCACTATCTTCTAATTTATTGGAGTATAAGGATTCAAAATAATTTTTGATTATCTTCTGTATTTCTGAAGTGTCTGTTGTGATATTGCCTCTTTCATCCCGTATGTTAGTGATTTGAGTTCTCTCTCTTCTTCTCTTCGCTAGCATGGCTAAGGGTCTGTCGATTTTGTTTATTTTTTCAAAGAACCAACTTTTAGTTTTGTCAATTTTTTCAATTGTTTCTTTTGTTTCGATTTCATTAATTTCAGCTCTGATTTTAATTATTTCTTGCCTTCTACTTCTTTTGCTGTTGTTTTGCTCTTCTTTTTCTAGGATTTTGAGATGAAGTATGAGATCATTTATTTGTTGGTTTTTTCTTTTTTTAAGGAATGAACTCCAAGCAATGAATTTTCCTCTTAGAACTGCTTTCAATGTGTCCCATAGATTCTGATATGTTGTGTCTGTGTTTTCATTAATCTCTAAGAATTTTTTAATTTCCTCCTTGATGTCTTCTATAACCCATTGATCATTCAGTAACCTATTGTTCATTCTCCAAGTGATGTATTCTTTTTCCTTCCTTCTTTTATCGTTGATTTTCAGTTCCATTCCATTATGATCAG